TATCTATTTTGGATACATTTCTGTAGAATGCAGAAAATAATATATATTCTGAATCTTTGAGTGTCATTCTCTGGCTAGCTGTTAAGTCTACTTGATCTACAATTTCATTTTACTCTGATGTTTCTCTGTTGAATTTTTTCTGGATGACACATCTGTTGATGAAAATGAGGTAATAAAATCATTCAGTATCACTAATGTGTCAATTATGCTTATTTTAAATTGTCTTATAGTAACAATATCTACATACTTTTATAAACTGATAGTATGTTTTACAAAGCTGGGTGTGCTGAACATTGGTATGTACATGTTTATAATCATTATATACTCTTGCTAGATTTGTTCCATTATCCATATAAATTATGTAACCTTCTTTATCACATCTCACTAATTTTGTTTTAAAATTTTGTTAGATATGAGACAGTGTAGATTCTTCTGCTTTCATTCAGGTTCGATTGATTGGGAATATCTTTTCTATATTTTTACTTTTAAAATGTGTTTTTCTTGGCCAATTACGTGCACATCTAGGAAGCAGTAACTGAGTCATTTTGTTGTATTGTATTTGGGGATGGGTACTAGATACACTAGTTTGAGTCTTTTAATTGGACACTCGATACCATTAGCATCAGAGTTATAAGTGGAAGATATGTACTAATACCTTCCATTTGCTGATGATTTTGTGATATTTGACCCTTTCCTATTTTTGCTGGCTTATCTACTCTTCTAATGAGATTCAATCTTTTCCATCTTCTCATAATTATGAAGATTTTAAGAGCCACGAATAAGGATGGGCAGGGAAGGGAGAAGAGCCATGTTATATTATAGTTAAAAACACTAACCACACAGGAAGAGTAAAGACTGTGGAAAGCTTCAAGGCAGCATCATGTTACATAGAAACCCATGTGTCTAGGTTTCTTGTAGCCTCGTGTACCTAGAAGTGTATCTCTTTCCCAAGATTTCTATTATTTTACTTAAAACTTTAGTTTGTACCTACCCTCCTCTTCTCCTTCTCTTTCTCTGAATCATAAACTTGGCCTTTTAATGGTGGCTCAGAAGTCTTCCAGTATCTGTTTTTATTTCTTAATTATCATCTGAATATTTATATTTGTCTATCTCCAAGCACTGATATTCTACCCTCCAGTTGGTCCACTTTATTGGTGAAGATTCAACTGGGTTTTTATTTGATTTATTAATCTTTTCAATTTTGAAACTTCAGTTTGTCTGTTTTTGCTTTCCAGCTCTTTGTTGAATTCTTTCATGTACATGATTGTCCTTCTCTTACTCAGAAGTTTACTCATATTCTGTTAATTTATTTGAGAGTTAATTTATTTCTTCTTTGAATTTGTTGATGGTTCTTATCATGATTCTTTTCCATTTGGGCTATAATTTTTCCCACTTTACTATCATTAAAATCAGTTATTGTGGAACATTTCACTCTTTCAAGGAGTCATGTTGTCTTGTTTTTCCTGTTCCTTGAATTTCTGCATTGGAATTTGTAGATCTAGGTACGGTTTTGTGGGCAGAAGCAGCTACAGTTACTCTCAGATCTCCAGTTTCTCAGAAGATGGGATGAACTACAAGCATTTAGCTAATGATTCCTAGTTTCCATAACATCTATCTGCTCCTCAGACAGGAAAGCCACATACGGATACAGTAACCAATGCCTACAGAACACTGCCATATTCCATCCTTTGAGTCTCTGACTTTAGGTTAACTCAGCTCTCATAGATAATCACTTTCTGTCACTCAGTCCCCTTTGTGGAACTCTGGTAGTTCACATCAGTGATTGATGGCACCCAATGAGAAACAGTCTGCCCTGTGACTCCTACTGACTTCCCCCTGAAAGGAGCCCCTATGGTTCTGACTCAGTCTCTCTCCTATAGTTAGACTGGCTCTCCAAGCAAACAGAAGGTGGATCAGCGCCTGACCCTTCCTGGACGATTCCATAAACTGGATGATGCAGGGACACTTGACTCCTGAAGCTGCAGACTCAAATGGGAGCCTCTCAAAATGGGTTCCACCAACATCGTGGCCAAATGTCGAAAACAAGGCAGAATTCTCCCAGTGCCAATAATCGGTACAGTCTCCAGGCTCAGGACACCTGCCTGGCTGGACTGCAAATTTACTCAATAATGACATCAGTGTTAATTGTGTTTTCTGAGCAGCTCATTTGCTTTCCTTTACCTCAGTCTCTACCTTCCGCCATCCTGCTTTTCTCAGTTTCACATGGTGATATCTGTCTCTCTGCGCCTGTGTCTCTGTCTCTCTGTCTCTCTCTCATGCACGTGCACAAACCACACACACACACACACACATACACACGATTTATTTTCTATTTACAGGGCTCTGCCTGTTCACAACTGTAACTATCCTTTGTGTTTTCTGAAGCTTTGGCTGTCTCTATCCTGAGACCCTTTCTCAAGTGTCCGACCCACAGAAGTGGTCTTTCTCTCCATCTGTTCTACTCTAGAAATTTTCCCTTTTCTCTTTGGTCACTACTGAAACATCAGTGCCTTCCGGCTATCAGCCATCTCAAAAAGTAACTGTAACTGCTCTTCAGCCATCCCGCTTTATGCCCCAGAGATACAAGCAATCACTGGGATTACTAGTGGGAGAGTATTTCCCACCCTCTCTCTTCATGCTTTTCTGGGCTTGAATATGTCTTTGCTTGCCTGGACGCTTAAGAAAACATATTTTATGATCATCAGAATAATCACCCCTTTAAATAAAAGAAGTCCTAATCACTCACTTCTTCTCCCAGAGTTATTCAAGATGTACTATTGTGCTTCCCACTCTAGAAAGCTCCTCGTGTTGGGTGCCTCACCAAAACCTCAAATCGTACAACCTGCCAAAATTAAATGGCAGTCATGAAGACTGTAGTTCATAGTGTTCCCAAAGGTAAAACTGATAATGAGAAAAGCTGAAGCGCATTAGCCAGGCTTTGGGAAGTCAACACCTAATGCCCACAGTCCACAAGGCTGATGGACTCTGAGCCCAAGAGAAAGGCTGGGTGTCCACGGGCCCCACTAATGTATTATCCTGCAGCATTTGATCAGTCACATCACACAGGTTCTCCCTATAGCTCTCAGAACATATGATCTGGAGGCTGTGGTCCCAGCAAGAGATCACAATTTATATTGAACTCATAGCCATTATGCCCTTACTTTACACTATTGCTTCCTGCAGGCATTTGGGTAAAAAGTTATTGGATGTTATTGAAAGATATGTCAAAATCACTTGCCTTTTTTGTTAGAAGCAAGTTAGACATGGGAAACAGAGCCAGGGGAAAGTGTGGAGACTGAAGGCAGAGGCCAAGAAGAGATACACAAAACAGTTCTCACAAATGGCAGTTGGCCTGCCTCTGCACCTCAGTAAGAGACTCTGACACATCTCCCATGATAAGATACCCTCCAAGACTGGAAAGATGGCTCAGGGATTAAGAATGTTTGCTGTTCTTCCAGAGGACCAGAATTCAGCTCCCGGCATCCCACATATGACAACTTACAATTGCCTCTAATTCCAGCTGCAAGGGATCCAGCACCCTCTTCTGACCTCCAGTGGCACCTGCACACACTTGACACTCTCTTACACACATACACGTAAATAAAAGTTATCAGCATTTTAAAAAGAAAAATGAAGATACCCTCCAAAATAGGATATATTTACCTTGGGTTTGTAGGGTGATATAACAAACAAGATCTTGAAGAACACTCGAGGAGGAATCAATAATGTCTAGTTCAAACCAATTCTGAGAAAACATTCTATACCTACAAAAGAGAGGAGAGACGGCGTAAAATAGAAAGGTTAAGGCAGACAAAGCAGTCAGCCCAGCCCCCTCTGTCTGCCAGGTTGATCCTCTCATACCTTGGTAAGAACATCTTTTCTTTTAATAAAGATTTGCTTGCTGACCACAGTGTGCTTTCTCTGTGTTCATACTTCATACTGAGTGCTCAATGAGAGTACAAGAACAGAGGAAACTTGCCACAGCACTTGCTGCAAGACTGAGTCCATCCACTCCACCTCCTTGCCCTCTCTAATTTAATTGTGTTTGTCACTGTCTGTCCTGCTATAAAAAAAACACATTGACACCCACTTTTCAATGGCAGAAATCTGGAAGAGATGATCTCATAACCTGTTGGTTGAATCATAAAATACGGGTCTGGATGGGAATAAAATAAAGACAAATATTTCACATTTCATACATGTACATAAATCAAAAAAATGCATTTGGGCTGAAGGTGTAGTAGCTAAGTGGCAATGCTCAATGGCCCTGGGTTTGACCCTCAGCACAACAAATAACAAAATAATGTTATTACTATTAAAAATGAGTCATATGAAAACGTATTCATCCCAAATAGTATACATGCCCAAACATCTATAAATATATTAAATGGTTGTCTGTGGGAATTAGTCTACCAAACACTCACAAGCTCTGCTGCAGTGGTCCTATGTCTGCTAACCCTTCCATGTCGCAGAGGCACCATAACTTCCCGTAGCAGTGCTGCCAGTCAGTTCAAATGCATGGACATCCCCGAGGAACATTTTAATATCCAACCCAATTTTGGACATAAACAGTTTGTATCCAAACTAATGCTGTTACTGCCCTTCTACAGGGCAATTCACTCTGGTAAACCTGAGATGGAATGCAGGCTTACAAAAGGAGCCCAGGAAAACATTTTCATCTTTTTTTTTAAATCCCCCATCCTCTTTTCCCTTCACTTCACTTCCGGTTTCCTTCGCCACCCTTCCTTTCTCTACTTATCTCCTTTCCCCCTCTCTGCTTCTCTCCTTCATTTTTCTCGCTATTTAAGACGCTGTTCCTAACAATGCCAGGCTCTGGAGGTTTGTCTAAGTCTACTCATAGTGACCAGTCCACAGTCCCCTTTCTAAAGCCTCCCCCTCTTCTAATATCAAAGTCCATCTGGTCAGGGAGCAATTGGAGCCCATCCACCCACTAACCTGCTTCCACGGAAATTTGGAGTTTGCTTCCTGCCTGCAAAGAAATGGCTCTAGCCTGGAGAAATGTGCGGAAAGCCTTCTACATGGAGACCTCTCTCGGAATCCTCCATCTGTGTCCACCCTCGAGCTGTGAGTGGAAACTAGGGACGTGGGTCAGCAGAGGGTCAACAGAGGGGGAAAGCCTGAACTCTGGATCCGGTTGTCTAGGACTGGGACAATTAGAGCTGGGTGAGGACGTAGGATTTTAGAGGTGAACTTGTAACAGCCAATGGCTGTGAGCCTTTCAGACCCAGAGCGTCTCTCAGAATGACCGCCATTTGTCCTGAAATGAGTCATTGAGTATTAAAATCTGGTAATACACAGCCCAGATTTGTAAAACCAGCTATCTCTACTTTGATATGAAGAACAAATCAAAGGAAAGTACATCAAAATAAAATAAGGCATTAAATTCAATAGATAGGTTTCTAGGATTATTTTAAAGGACATAGGTTTTCTCACACATATCCACTGAACATATAAGAGATAAGATTCACAAATACACACATACACACACACAAACACACATACACACACGAGAGAGAGAGAGAGACAGAGAGAGAGAGAGAGAGAGAGAGGGTGAGGAGGAGGAAGGGGGAGGGAGAGAGAGAGGCATGCACGCCTGAATTATTTCCTCACAATCATCCAAGCCAGGATTAAACTAACCAAACCATCCCTTTCTGCTCATACTGTCCTCCGTCTACAGCAGGAACAAGAAACTTGAGGAGATCTGAGGTGACCAGATACAGGAATCTTCATAATTTATTTCCATGTGCCAATGATCTTCACATGGTTGTTCCCTCCAACCTCACAGTGTACTCATTGATTTGCTTTCCAAACTCATAAGCTTAAACAGACATCTGTTTACATGTTTGTGTGCCATAGTGGAAACTTATGACAATGAACTATAACTGGTATAGCGAACCCTTTTCTATCCTGCATTATGATCAGTTTTGTCTTTTCCATAGCTTTCCATTATCTCTCCTTTCCTCTCCTGTTCCCTCTCTCTCCTCACCTTTGTATAGTAATGGATGCCCAATGCTTTTTAGTGTGTGGGGGGAGCATATTATAGGTGCATGTGCACATCTGTGTGCATATATGTGGAGGCCAGAAGACTATCTTGCATGTTGTTTTTCAGATGACATCCAACTTAAGGTTTTGTTGTTGTTGCTTGGTTCTTTGTTTGTGTTTTGTTTGTTGTTGCTGGCCATTTTGTTTGCTTTTTGAGACAAGGCTTCTTTTGATTGGGAGCTCACTGAGTAGGCTGAAGCTGGCTAGACAACCAGCCTCATGGGTCCATCTGTCTATGCTTACCCAGCAATGAAAAGTGTGTGCCATAACCCCATTGTTACATAGGTTCTGAGACTCAAACTCTAGTCCTTATGCTTGCATGGTAAGCAATGTAATAGCTATGCTGTTTCCCCAGCCCAGTCCAGGCCTAATGCTTCAAATAGTATATTTTTCATCTTCAGTTAAACTTGCAGTAGAGTCCTGTTATATTGTCCCACACAGGAGGAGACAAATGACATCCCAAATAAAGGCACATAAGAATGCACTTTTCTCTACAGCCTCAACAATATTTGTTTGTTGTTTTGCTTAGCTTGCCTTTTTGATTCTAGTCATTCTGACTGAAGAGAGGTGATACCTTACAGTCTTCTCCTGTTCCTGTTTGTGGTCTTAATCAATTCATTGGAAAACCTATATAGAACTCAATCAAGAAAACGATGGAGAAGTACTCTTACAGACTCATGTAATATAGCTTTTAATCCCTAATCTTTCCCTAGTCTTCCAAACACTATTAAAGCTCCTATGTCTACTCGCTTACCATGCACATACGTGTGTGTGCTTGTGTTTATTCATTCAAACACACAATACTCTTAATGCATATGTGGTATGTGCAAAATATTCAAAATACTTGAGCATCAACTAAATGTGTTCTAGTGTTAAAGATATAGTCACAATGAGCAAGCAAAGTCCATCCTTATATATCCCACAGGTGAGACAGGAAATGAACAGATAAGTAAAATATCAAAAAAATGAAGAAATGGAGATAGAAAAGTAAAGTGAGGCATTTGGGTAAATAAAGAGATTATATGCTTTAAGTGTTTTCTATGTGTAAAACCATAAAATAAGTCTCAATCCTACTACAATGCCAGAGTATTTACTGTGTGATATTGGTACATGTAAATTATTTAGCCTTACTCACTTTGATTCATATAGTCATTCTGTTCTAAAGATGAATATATATACATATATACAAGGAAATAATTCATTTTCAATATAGAGTAGAAATACACTTTAAATACTTTGTTCTTTGCAATTTCCATACATTTATTCTACATACATTAATCAATTCATCCACCATTATCTCCATCCCACTCCCCCAAGTACCCTCATCACATCTTTCCATAGCCTCTTTTTATTTTTTGTTGTTTTTAATAATGTTGAGTCCAGTTAGTGCTATCCACATGTACATAGGATTGTGACTATCTACTGGGTCATACAAACCTTACTAGAGATCATGTTCTCAAAGGCCTCAAATCAAAGAGTGAATCAAAAAGTGGTGTTCTCTCCCCCAACAACCATCAACTGCCAATATCACCTCTGATTGAGAGGGAGTTTTGGAGCTCCTTCCCCACCTGTGCTGGAAATTTGACTACTGACTTTGTCTCAGGCAGGTCACCACAGCAAGAGTGGAAATATCTTAAAGCTGCATCTTCTCTATTAGCTAAAGTTCCAAAGTTTATGTCATTTTCAGGTAGATGGAGATTGTTCTCCAAAGTCCTATGTTTGACATGTTTTCTCTCGCACAAAGGAAGGGTACCCAGGAGAATACACGGGTGGTAAATAATATTCACTCCCCACTGAGAAACTCCCAGCAACACTCCACTCCTGGAAAGACTTCTCAAAGAAAATAAATAAATAAAGTTATCCTATTATCAAGCCCCTCACTTGCACCCTAGGCTGATCTCAAAGATGGCCTATCCCAAAGGATCTGTAAGGAACACCCACCAGCCCCCGACTCAGCTGGAGTTCCTGTGTGTGCACAGCCAACAGCAACAGCTTCGGTTTTGCCTCAGCCAAAGGCTAGGTTGAAAGACCATGGAGGAAGGAAGGCAGTCTGAAATAATCTCCATAAGGTAACAAATAGAATTGGGCATGAAAGAAGGCAAAGAAGGTGAACCAGCAGGAGCCACGAATTATAGAAGGAATCTTCCATTAATGGCGGAACAGCTAGCACTAGTTTTCCTTTCACTCAACACATACAATGGGGCAGAGAAATGAATGTCATGGTCTCATGGAGGTTTGGGTAGTACAGAATGAACAACATTGTCTTCCTACTGTAAAACAGTGAAAGAAGGACAAGGAGACCACCCTAAGTCTGATAATCAGCAGCTCCAGTGGAGAGAGAGCAAATGAGAGAGAAAAATAAAACCAGACATTCTCTCCTCTGGCCAGCCCTTGTCCTTTGCACCCCCAGATCCCTGTGTAGCGTCTGCAGGCTTCCTTGGCAGATAGCTTGTCGGTCTGTTGCTGCCTTGGTGGCAAGGTGGATGGATGATAAGATGTCCCTTTCCTAACTCATTATGTATCCTAAACATCAGAACAGATAGGAAATCGGATGTGTGTATTAAAGTTACCAAAAAGATGCTCTACATAAATAAGACACAAATCCTATCTGTATAAGTCACACCTTACGAAGTATATTCTGTGCTGCCAAGCTCCTGTAACCTTTTTCTAGTGTCACGGTGAAGATTGGTGATACATACTCCTCTTCGGTATGTATGAAAAATGACTGCAGGAGTGCAGGAAAAAAAGGATTTTCTGAGAACTCTCAAATCCCTGGAAAACATTTGTTTCTCTCACTACTTAGTTATTTCTCTCAGTATCTTGCCCTCTAGCTCTCCCCCTCCCCTTTTTTTGAGACAGGGTTTCTTTGGGGAACATCCCTGTCTGTCCTGGAATTCACTCTGTAGACCAGGCTGTCTGGAACTCACAGAAATCCGCCTGCCTCTGCCTCCCGAGTGCTGGGATTAAAGGCATGTGCCACCAACACCTGGCTAATTATTCTCTTTTCAATGTTGTGATTTTGAGGAAAGAAAACAAAGCAATTTTTCTGCTATGGAGCTCTGAAAAGTTAGACAGCTGGGAAGTTAAATTCAATTGCCCACTTTGTATTTATTATATGAGTGGCATTGTTCTCCAAATTCAATTCCATTTTACTGTCTGGATTTGTCTGTGTGAGATGAAGTGGGTGAAAATAGAGCTACCATCTGTGTTTAGTCTAAAAAGACAATGTCAGATAAGTAAAAACAACAAACAGATACATAAAAATGCATATTCATAAAAACACCAATTCACAGAAGACTTGGAATTCAGGATCTTTAACACAACCCCCTGCCCCACGCAATCCTTATGTTTATATATATGTACACACATACCGGAACCAGTGAAAAACTATCAATGCCCGACTCTCACAGCACACTCAAAACACAGGCTGTTTTACACAGGGGTTGCATGCAATTATTTCTGGAGACACACTGATTTTCATTTTTCTGACAAATAAGGGACTTCATTTATTTTTATCCTTTGATTTTCATTATGACTTGAGAAATTTACTCATTGAAACGGGCAATGTATCAAGAAAGGGTATTATGAGTATTATGTAGATATAATTCACTTATGGAATAATTTTTTCTTTTTGTTTGCATGATTACCTCCCTTCTTTACTTTCTATCTTCCCTTTGTCCTTTCTCTTTCCTCTTTAATGTATTTATGGATTTCACTTAGAACCCTTGCTTCACCATTTGTACACGTATCCCTTTATTGAGTGAATGAGTGAATGAATGAGTCTTCCTTGACTGTTTAAAATCACAACTTTTCTCTGTCAAGTCTTTTCCATCTGCGTTCTTCCCTTTCTCACCTTAATTGTTACAGATACACAGTCAATGAACTTACAGCCTCCTCATTGGGCAACTCCAATTTTACAGATGAGAACATAGACTGGTGGAATAAAGGGATTTCAAATTCTCAGAAATACTCTATTTTCTCCATCTCAGGAGAGTGACTAGCACAGAGGCACACAATAAAAAGCTTTCAGAAGGGGAAATTCTCAGAAAACTTGAGCTGTCTTTTTCCTGTCATTCTTATGCATGGATAACCAAAAGCCACTTACTTTTAAAGGAAGAGCAAATTCGTGACATTAGCGATTATTTGGAGCAGAAAAAAATGAATGGGGTTTTGAAAGAAAATACGTGCACAGTTATTACATCCCTGCTTCATTTAGAAACACATTGTTCATTGAGTTTCTCCAGACTATGACTTCACAGCCACATGACAGCAGCATTTCCTCCCCGCACCCAATGCTTCGTGCTGTAGCAGCGGCGTCACTTCCTCAACTCTTTCCAACTATGAAGTTACCTTAAAACCGACCTCAAGTCCTCAAAATGAGGAGCACTCTCCTCCAAAAGTGCTTAGAAAGACTCTAGATGTCCTCTCTGATCATCTCTAGCTGCACTATACCTTCCCACTTATAGGAGAGATCAAAGTCTGTGCTGTCAAGAAAAAGTGAGCAGAAAGAGACTCCCAGGCTGGGAATGGACAGCTTGTAGTTTCATTCTTGTCCTTCTAACTAGCATGGTGAACCTGAACACCAAGGTGAATATAACGCCTTAAGCTTGAACATAAGAATTTCAATACCCCTTCCCAGTAGGGCCCTGCCAACTCTCAGCATTTAGTAATTCTTCCTTCTCAGCCTTTCTCCCTTTTCAACAGTCTTAGCTTGGTGACCCTTTCCTAAGGAGAGGGTGATGTCTCACAGATCTGCTTGCAGGTATTAATACAGCCCATCACCTAACACCTGTGTCTACGTGTTCCCTACTAGAATAGCCAGCAGCAAAGAATTTCATGTATAGAGAGGCACCCAAGTATCAGGCCCTGAACCACACGATGGAGTTCAGGCACTCAGCAACTCAGAGTTTAGAAAACACATTTATTAACAAAGTGTATGGGCATCTACTGCAGGTTGTATTGCCATCTGACGATAAATATTTAGTCAACAAAAAAGTAGGATTGTCTTGAACTGAGGTCTGTAAGTTCGTAAGAGGGGCTGTATATAGAAAAACTTGCTACATCCGTATCCTCCTTTTCTTTTTGTACTACATTCAATCACTTTTCCTCCAGAAAATCCATTATTAAGATACCCCAGTGTTAAAATAAAAACTAATGTGATTTTTATTAAACTAAGAAACAAAATTGCCTAACTGGTTCAGGTAACCACAAGTGATTGACACAAAGAGATCTCCGTCATCTTCAGTTAACAATCCTAACTCAGTTCATTTCAGTAGGTGCTTCCTGGATATCTGTACCCAGGCTCACTCTTCATACAAAGCCCAGCATGCCATCATGTGACTTCTCACCTGAGAGATACCAGGTAAGACTCAGGCTTTGGGAAAAGAAAAAGAGGTCACCCTTGGGAGACCCAAGACTTCCAAAGTTGTTCCCAAAAAAGGACCCACAAATAACCATGTTTTGTCAATCAACAGGTTTATCCTAGATGACCTATTCTTTAAGTCTTAGGGGGTGTCTGAAGCCTTACACTATGTACTAGCTACAGATGAACTATTGAGTATATGTGAGATTGAGGCAGAAAGTACAACAAAGGACTATTACGAGATTACATGTTTTCATACACGAATGCATGCATGCACACACGCACGGCAGGGATACCTTCGGGTGACTCAGGTTAAGAGTGCGAAATCACTTATTTTCTTGTTAAAATGTGATCTTAGTTTACAAAGAACAATACATCCTGTGATCTTCCTTAGTTCCCACCCACCAAAACAGAGTTATTGTCCTGTTATCAGATTAATAATGATTTCTCTTACTCTTTCTGGCTCCTTTCCTCCCTCTCTCTCACACACAAAACAATTCTTTTATTCTATGTTGTGTTCCTTGAACCCAAATGTTAAAGCCCATAATCAGGAGTTCTCTACCAAAAGAAAATGTAAGTGTGATGGTTATTATTGTCACCTTGCTAGAATCTAAACATCACCTGAGAAGTGGCCCTCTTGTATGCCTATGGGATTACCTTGATAACACTAACTGTTGGGGAAAAACATCTTAATGGTGAGTGGGAACACTCCCTGACACTGGAAAAACAGAGACAAGGGACCCCTGGGGCCTGCCAACTAACCCTCCTAGCAGAATCTGTGAGCTTCGGGTTCAGTGGGAGATCCTGTCTCCAAAAACTAAGTAAAAGAGCAATTGCAGAAGAAACTCAACATTGACTGTTGGCCTCTACACACATACACTACCTGTACACACACTGCACATGCCTTGTGTATTCACAAACCTGTATGTCTGCACACACCTGTGCATCTGTGCACACACACACACACACACAAATATATTCAGAAAGAAAACTTTGGTCTGAAGGTCAGTTGTAAAGCACTGGCCTAGCATGCCCTGAATTCAATGGACAACATCATTATCACTGCATTTATTCAGTGTTTTTGTTTGTTTTGTTTTTGTTTGAGGCAGGGTCTCTCTATGTAGCTCTGGCTGTCCTGGCACTCATAGAGATCCACCTGCCTCTGCCTCACAAGTGCTAGAATTAAAAGTGTGTGCCACCACGCCCACCCATTTATTTAGTTTTTAAATTTATTTTTATAAACCTGTAGCAGCAAAAATGGCATTAATTTAACCACTTGTTTCCAAGGTATGTTTTTTTTTCATGGTAAAATCAACCTGAAATCCGGTTATTCCATTGAGAGATGGGAATTCCAACTTCCTTCTTCATGTACACTCTAGGAAAAAAAAGTCATAAATAAAAAGGCACACCATGAGAAATGTCACCTGCTCAACAGAAAAGACTTCAATTTTCTCAGAACATATTAGGTAATGTGCCTGTTTGTAAGTCTGTACAGCAATGAGTCATGTGTTCAGGTCACTAAGGAGACTAGGTTCTGGTATACTGATCTGCTCTTGATCCTGTATGACCCAGGAATAAGAATACAAATTTTAATTTGTCTACCGTAGTCCCTTCCCTACAGCCGTGTCCTGGAGATTCATAAGGAGAACCTTTCTCCTGTGCAAACGGCTTATTTCCAGAAGCCTTTGCTGCTGCACCAGGGACACATGGAGTGGCTCTTTGATTCGGAGGGAAACAGATACCTGGACTTCTTCTCTGGGATTGTAACTGTTAGTGTTGGTCACTGCCACCCGTAAGTATCCTTAACATCTTTGAGGGTGGAGGGAGGGTTGTGCTCCAGAAAAACATGGAAAATGATCATTCGCATCACTCAGAATCCTTAATTTACATATTTTGACTTTAAAATATATATGTTACAGTCTGTGCTGACATGCTTTTCCCATGTAAGGGAAAAAAACTTCAAAAACAACACTTGATTCTGTACTTTTTCCTTACTGATGGGAGATTTGCTCATTCCTATTGCCTACAGCACGAGCAGCATGTGACTCGGTGTCTGTCTGTGTGTTTCTTGATGGATGAAACTTTGCAAAGACAGTGATACACTGAGGAAAGGGACAAGTGACAGGTGGCTGTCAGGCAAACATAGAGATAGGTGAGTGGCATGAAGTATGAGCCCTGAGAAGTAACTGCTAAATCCATGATGGATTATCTTTGTGGACTCTGATATGGAATGCAATTGTAACACAGAAATGCAATCCTAGCTAGAAATTTACTTAGAAATCGGTGAAATAAAGTTGAGATTGGCTGAAATCTTGACCAGCTCTCCAACACACACAGAGTATCAGGAGCACACTCCTCCCTGATACTCTGGGTTTCTATGTAGCCGTTTCATTTTTAACTTTTATTTACATAATTCACAGTTCTATTATGGGTTATGATGATGGTTTTTCAAGTGTTTTCTTTTTTAACTGACAGAGGACTGCATCACTTTCCCCTCCTTTTTCTCGCCCCACTCTCCTCCCCAAGTACCCTGTCCTCAAACCTTTCCCACACTCCACCCACTCTCAGGCTGAAAGCCTCTTTTTCTTGATTACATTTGTTAGGTAGACATGCGTGCGCACGAATATATAGGAATACAACTGGCTTATTTTGTTTTGTTGTTTATGTAGACACAATGTCAGAGCTGACCACTTGGCATTGGGCAAACAGTAGGGGGTTCATCCCCGCGAGAGGCTAATTCTCTGTCTCCCAGCAGTCAATGGCTGCCTGTCGTCCCTTTTCTAGGAGTGGGACCCAGTGAAATTTTCCCTCTTTCATGTTAATAAGTGCATTGATATTGCCATTGTTCTGGTCTTGCTTTTGCAGATATTTCTAGGATAGGCTGTTTTATAGCTGGCGTCTAGTTTTCCGGCTCTTCACTCATTCCACCCCCTCTTTTGTAGGGCTTCCTGAACTGTAGATGGTCTGTTCTCTCCTGCCCTTTAGAATTTGGCAAATTAACTTAATTTATATATACATATATAATATAATATTTATAAACACATATATACTACATGTGTAATATTATAGAAAAACAGCATAGTCAAAATAATTTGAATGGGTTGAGGCCTTCCTATCAAAGTCGGGGCCAAGGGCTCTCTCCTTCAAGTGCTAATGGGAGAAGAGACAGGACTTGGATCCCCATGCTCAGCCTTCTCCTTCTCTACTTCCTATTGTTTCCCTTTCTGTTTTGGGGAAGTGCAAGTCCCAAGCATCCAAGCCAAACTTCAGAAGTCCCTTAAAGTGAAGTACAAATGTTCGTGAAAGCAGAGAGCAACACTAGCAGAATCCTCCACACACCGACAATGCCCGGTAGACAGCTCTTACTCACTCCCATGACCTTTGTAGAGCTTTTAATGACCCCGACTCTGGGATTCCAGTTCCCACCTTATCTCTACCTCTTTTCTTCTCTCTGCTTCCTTCCTCTCACCATCTCACCACATTCCCTTCACTGCCGCCCTCCTGCCCTGTTTATTTGGTTACATTTTCAGCAGCTTTGTCTAATTTGATATCTTCAGCTATGGCCCCTCACCAAAATACAACAATAAGTTAAATATATTCAGAGAGGGCATCAAGACACCCCACATCGCTCAATCTGTGCAGAATCTCTCCCATCCCAACATATTCTAAGGCTAAGTCCATCTTCTCCACAAAGCTGATTTTAACTACGTAGTCACTTACTCAAAAAACACATGTGAACCATCTAATGGAGAGCCGCTGCATCCCTCAGTTATTCCTGGAATTTGCCCAGCATTCGAGGTAAGAAAGTCAAAGTTGTCTTTGAGTTTTCCTCTTTTCCATTTCCTACAACCAACCTGATGCCACAGATCTGAAGCCTCCACCCAAAACTCCCTAATCCTAGGGACTCCTCTTCCCACAGTTCTCATCGACACAAACATTTTCAGAACCTTTCTGCTCTCCAGAGAAAGGCCACTTGCTCACCTAGCCGGCTGCCACATTACCAGTCATCTATGTCCCCTCCATTTTACATGTCACCTGGCTCTCAAATTTACTTCAATCAGCAGTGCTGTTGTCAACGATCTCCTCTCTCCAAAAACTTAATGATAATTTGCAACTTTCTTAAGTGAGATTTGTGGGATGATAGCCACAGGAGTTGTTCCTTGGAAAGAATTCCAGGAAAAAACAAGAATAGGACACACTATGAACTCCCCCTCTCTCCTTCTCAGAGAGCAGCAGTGGGCCAGGCGAAGGCACTAGCAAGTCCCAGAGTAGAGGAATTTGTTTAGCCTAGTAGTTCCCAAAATTACTCAACCATTGAGCTAAATTTTAGGTGTGGCAGATAGTAATAGCAAACAGAATCGGTGTGAATCAGAACTCAGCCACTGCTGCCATTCAGACCAAATTCAAACATCTTTCCCCATCTTCCCACAGCCTTCCTATTTGGGACCCCACATGTTCATCTGCCTTTAGTTGCTGCTTGCCTTCATTATAAGCCTCCTGATGTGAAAAGTTAAACTGATTCTTTAAAGAGTGACGCTTCAGGATGACAAAATACTCATCACCACCCATCACTGGTCCAATGAGACTAGTGGAGTCCACCTATGAAACCTGCCTCCTCAAACTGTTGAGGAAGTAGCCATGGGTCCAGTTTCAATGGCCCCGGGGGAGAGGGCGTGCCTTTGGGTGGTGTGCCCTTGACTTGTGTCTTTCTGCAGGAAGGTAACTGCGGTGGCACAAAAGCAGATGGACCGCCTGTGGCATACAAGCTCTGTCTTCTTCCACCCTTCGATGCACGAATATGCAGACAAGCTTTCCGCACTTCTTCCCGAGCCTCTTAAGGTACAGTGCTCGGTGCTCCCAGCTCACGGGGTTGGTGACCTGTGAGCCTAAGGGATTTGATCTGGGCCATGGTGAGCAGATAGCCACAACCAAAAGCACTCATGCTGAAAAGGGGGAAATCTCCACACGACTGATGAAACAATCCAATGTTCACACGTGTCCCCCCTGAGTCCTAGGTCACCTGCTCATGTCTTTCCAGAAATCTCTATTTAGGAATCCCAGTCCTCCAGATGCTCTGTGGTATTGTCAAGAGATTTCCTCCTCTTTGTCCCACATTGTTTCTGAAGTTATTTTTGTTTCTCCTCCTATAAAAAGCAAAGCCATTCCTTATAAATAACATTTGTCTAAAACTCACTTAGATATTTTAACTGAATGTGATATTTTCTGCATCTGAAATGAGTAAAGTTGACACTGAATTGGTATCTAAAGATGTTTGCCAAGATTTAAATGAAGGTATTAAATGTGTGTGTGTGTGTGTGTGTGTGTGTGTGTGTGGTGTGTGTGTGTGTAATACCCAGATTAGTGTTCAATACATGGTTTTAGTTATTATTTTACTCCATCTTCTCAATACTCCATTTGCCCTGTTATGCAGAATAGAAAAAGAAATTTGGAATGGCCATCCCTGTATTCAGACCCAGGTCTTCATGGCAGAGTAGAAATGGGAAGCAGGAAAAGCCATGAATGCATGCTCCTTGGTCCTGCCTGGGGGAGCTGTACCTCTTCAGCTCTTACCCTTCTTTTGTTCAGACTGATCTGCACTCCGTATCCACAGTCACAGCAACATCACACATGGTTAACCCCTTCAGGTTGCTAGGTTTGGGGCCCTGTCTCATTCCATACCTTCAGGATTAAATGGGATGAGTTAGGTGCAGGAACCAAAAGACCTCATTCATGGATATTTTCTGCTGCCGACCACTATGGGCCTCTCAGAAAGTCTTCCCATCTTCTTATTTTGCAGCTCACCAATTAAAGCTAATAAAAGCTCAGATGAGTCAACCTCTCAGCCAGTTTTGTTATCAATTAACAGCTGTTCGAGGAAGGGCTGTAGAATTTATGTAGCCGTTAAAAGGGAGGAGAGATTGGAAACAGAAGTTGACCTGAAGGGAACCTAAAAGTACTGTATCATGTGTCTTTCTTTCCCCATAAGGTCATTTTCCTGGTGAACAGTGGATCGGAAGCCAATGACCTGGCCATGATGATGGCCAGAGCATACTCAAACCACACAGACATCATTTCTTTCAGGTAACCACATTCTATAACATTCAACTCAGCAACACTGACGTATACCAACACTAAATGTGCATCTTTAAATTGTAGCACAAAAAATGACAGTTTTCCCAGTATTCTTACAACATATGTTTGAGGGCAAGTTCAATCCAGTGAATCTGATGACTAGATAATTCCATCTATATTGGCCTTATAAACTCTTGGTGAATATATTAGCATTTAAAAGTATGTTCCTAGTTTGCAGCCTTAGCACATTTATAGAGTCTTATAAGATTTATATGAAAGACATGAGTAACAGTAAAAAAAAATGATGGCATGAAAAAGTTAGTCCTGTGTTAAATCCATCTCAAGGTAATTTGTGCCTAAATTCAAAGATCTTTGTTATAGCACACCACCACAGTTTCCATATGAAGCACACATGTGCTATCAAATAAATATGGAAATAACACATTGTGAATGTGTTTTACCAAAATAACCTTTTAGAACACAAGATAAATATTGATCTATTTGAAGCAGAATTTGACATATATTCTACCTCCTTTTACATGATCATTCTTGAGAATAAAATTTGGAGCTCATTGAAGGATTATTTTGATTTAGGAATTTTGTGAATTGATTAAGATGACTTATACTAAGAATGACTGTTTCAGGTTTGAAGGAAACCAAAACTGTTTCTAATATGCTAGATAAGGTAACATCAGTCATATGAAAATGACAGCACTGCCCAGAGACACTAATCAGCAGTTTCACCACAGGAACAAATATTTGTCTTCCTAAGGTGACTGTTTTGAAGATTAGTGTGGGTCGACCATCTCTGTAACACTGTTTAAAAAAAAATCAGTCTCATTATATTAGAGTAACAGATCCAAAATTAAGAGTCCCCCAGCAACCAGTCTCCAAAATTATTTTCATAGTTTCAGATCTATGAGACCAGTAGAAAATATTAGTGAATGCATTCACACACTATAAATTTAGAAGGATTCTTAAAAGGTATCAGATTTGAATGTTTGTATTCTTCTAGTCCATCCCATGTCTTTCATGTCTTTTTTAAATAAGCTTGACCTCATCCTCCCATGTTTTTCTCCCCAGAGGAGCCTATCATGGATGCAGTCCCTATACACTTGGCTTGACAAATGTAGGGATCTACAAGACGCAACTCCCCAGTGGAATGGGCTGCCAATCAGTGAGTTCTGACACTTTCATCTTGTTTCACTACAGACTGCTGAAGTTACAGGACAATTGATCAGATTTTCCTGATACTGGAATTAGAAACTAATATAAAGCATGTCATTAGCCAAGGCCTCAATTTGACTTAAAAATTCCAGACCAGTTGAAGAAAATGTTTCTTAGAAATGTCCTTAAGATCTGAGTACTAGTTAATGATAGAGTTTTCGATTTTATTTTGCTCATACATGCAATTGAGGAAGTTCAAGGATATTAGAAATATGAATACAGAAAGTTTCTATCAAGCCATCCCTGTCCTCGCCTCTGTTCTCATAGGCCATGTCCATCTTTTTCAGCATCAGAACCAGATACTTAATTATCCTTATTCTTTATGATGCCCTCATCTGCTAAACCTTTGAGAAAGTTACTTCTATGCTAACATCAAAATTAATTTTCTTTGAAGAGTAATTTCTAAGAAAAATATCTCTTCAAAAATGATTACATTTTTATTGTTAATGAGAAAGGAACTTTCCTTAGTTGTCATCATATGCATCCCCAAATTGCCTCTTTTGTATTAGCGTTTTGCCAAAATCTTTCTTTTGTCATTTGCAGACAATGTGCCCAGATATTTTCCGCGGTCCTTGGGGAGGAAGCTACTGTCGAGATTCTCCAGTACAAACAGTTAGGAAATGCAGCTGTTCTCCAGGTCCAAATGGGCAGGGAGGAAGGGTAGAGTTGAACATTGGGTGGAGTGAGGAATTTTGGGAAGGGCAAAACAAATTTGGGGAGTTGAGAAAGGGAAAAGCCAAAAGAAACAAAACAAGAAAATACTAAGAGAGCCCTCATTGACTCAGAGCTTCACCTGCCATCTGGCCAGGTGGGGAAAGCTGCTCATAACCTCAGCCTATTACCAGTATGTCACCTGACAATTAAGTGGTCTATGAAATGAGTATGACCATTCACCAGTTCCCAATGGGAAAGGGGAAGAGGGAAAAGGATACTTCTGCAAATCTCAAAGCACTAGTCAAGAAATTCTCTCAGGACCCCAAATGCCAGCCAAACAACATCTGTCAGATACAGAGCTGTTCGTGGATGCCAGTGACAGTGATGTCTCTTGCACAGGATTTAGTCATTCTCTCCAGGCTAAGTTCTATTTATCAATCACATTTTATTTTAATTCAGAGCATGAAAGAGAAGGGCAATAAAAACATCCTCGGCTCTTTTCTGCTCGGGTTTGTCATCATAGTACAGAACCTTTTGAACAGCTGCTCCTCGGGAGTTCTAGAGGAAAGAACAAGTGCTCCAGCCAAAAGATGTTTAATAGAATAGCATGAGTCACTAGGTTGAGAGGAAGAATGAAAAATGGAAACCTTAGAAACTCAGCTTTGGATAGAAAAAATCACCTTAAAATTCATACAAGATAATAATGCAATGGGGAATAAAAGATTAAGCATAGGAACAAGACAAAATGTCATGGTCACAGAACTTAAAAACACACTGAGGGTTTTAGGTACAAAAAGACTCTCAAAGACTCTCAGTTTTAAGGACGATAAGCTAAAGTTCACATTCAGGAAGTAGGAAAACTAGGATTGGACCTCAAGTCTTCAGACCCTAGACTCAGAAATCTAGAGCTTCCAATCTCTGTGACCACATTCATTTTGATGGGTGTGGCAGCAAGGTGAACTCACGTTGAAAAATAACTCCCTTTTCTCTCTTCTTTTCCATGTCTGAGGACATGCATGGAGTCAAGAGGTCTAGACTCCACTCCATCTTGGGCTTCAATTTTCTCATTTATAAAAAATAAATAATAAATAATAATAAACAGCAAGGAGTAAGACCTGTGCCTCACTCCCATCACACCACTGGTGAGATCAGGAACATATAAACGCTTATAGAGGAAAGCATTTGATAACAGTTTCAATTTCCTTGGGAATATATATATTCCTTGGGATATGTATCACATATGTGTGGCATCAAGAACTAAAGTCAGTCAGGTTCATCCCAGAATTCTCAGGCCCTCTGCAAAGCCACCAGCAAAGTGTAGAAGATTAGAGCACTTCAGAGTGGGTCACTTCCTTCCCTCCCTGCGCTGCATCCTTCCCTCTGTCCATCTTTTCTGTGTTATCTCTCTTAGATGCCGTCCCCTAGACCAGTGATTCTCAATCTGTGGGTTGTAACCCCTTGCGGGGATCACATTTCAGATATCTTGCCTATCAGAAATTTGCATTCCAATTCATAACAGTAACAAAATTGCAGTTATTTAGTAACAACAAAATAATTTTATGGTTGGGGTCACTACAACATGAGGAGCTATATTAAGGGTCACAGCATGCGTAAGGTTGAGGACCACTGCCCTAGACCATCTTGAAAACACAAGAGCAGCATGATAATCTCTCTAAGTGTCGTCAAGAGGATACATGATAGTGGAAGATATATGTTGTCCTTTGTGTATATGTAGTCTCTTGTTAACTGTTGTAGACACAAGAATGAGACCACATTTTTATTTATCTCCAGTTTTTATTGAAAATAACTTTCTCATATAATATATCCTGATTACAGTTTCTCCTCCCTCTCTTCTTCCCAGCTTCTCCCCACCTCCCCTCCCATCCAGATCCACACCCTTCTCTCTCTCATGAGAAAAGAACAGGCTTCTGAGAGATGACAACAAAACATAACAAAATAAAATATAACAAGACAAAACAAAAACCATCACATCAAAGTTGGACAAGGCAAAGCAAAACAAAGAAAAGAGCCCAAGAGAAGGACAGGATTCAGAGACCCACTCCTTCACACGCTCAAGAGTCCCTTAAAAGTACTGAACTGAAAGCTATGATGTGTAGAGAGAGGACATGGTGCAGACCCGTGCCGGCCCTGTACTTGCTGCTCCAGTCTGAACTCACATGAGCTTTGCTGAGCTGATTTAGAGGGCATTGTTCTCTCAGTGTCCTCTATCCCCTTTGGCTAGTATGCTCTTTATGCCTCCTCTTCAGAGGAGTTCCCTGGACTCTGAATGGAGTTATTTGATGGAGACCACCCACACGGAGCTGTGGCACCACATTTTGAAATAAGATATGGAAGTGGACTGCAGACTCCAGTGGTGCCTTTAGGTTTGGTCATTGTACTTGGTCCACCTTGTCAGGTAATTTTAATGTAGATGGTTCAAGTTGGTAGCTGCTCCTAGAGTTTTCTCACTGGATGGATCCAACCATAGTATGGATATTTTCATCTCATAATTATATCATCAAATCCCAGATTTAGACAGAGGCCAGTTTGTTGCTTTTATGTGGTAGATATCATAATCTTGTATCTAACTCCTGGATTGTTCATTCTCCAGGGATTAGTTCTAAGCCCAGATTTCCAGGAATACCCCATGACAAATTTACCTTTTGTCACCCACTGCCCTTATAGTGTCCTGAAGCTGGTACTGATTGAACTATTCTTTTTTTTTTAAGAAACTCCTCCTTTTCCTTGGAAATGTTATTTTTTCCTTGGTTTCTCACTCTGCTTACTCTTTCTGTAACACCAACTGAAATGCACTCCAGAGTAATAACTCTGCTATGATATCCAACAGAGCATCCACACTCTCTTGATGTTGTCATGGAGACATCAATGCACCCTATCTCTCTCAATAGGAGGCTTGACCTGAAGCTACAGGAATGGGCCAAAGCAACACATCCAAAGTGGCAGAAACACAATAGGTGGTCTGACTTCTCACCAAACACACAGATGAGTATGAGTAAAATATGAAATGGGTAGGATAAGCTCAAGCAAACTCTTCCTTTGACATGATTTTACCATAACTTAAGTCCTTCAAGCTACTTTTACTCTGTTCTGCTATTCCTAGTTACAAAAGAGCTTGATAGACCCAGAAGCCAGGCCTTTTACTCGTGCCTGATGTATCTTCTAGAGTCATCCAAGGCTCTGCCTCTTCCTTTCCTAATAAAAATAGGGAATTTGACTTCAAAGATATCAGATATCTATGTCAATAAAGCTTTCCTAAATGTCACATGCATTCTTGAAACATGATGTTTTCCTTACTCTTTAGTGGAGGGGGAGTATAAACGCATTTGGGTTTAGTTTTCTTTTATAATTGGTGAGGGTTTATCTTGTCTAGTCTTCACGAATCAGGCTAATGCATACCTCTAAGTAAATGATGGGATGACAGCTGTCGCCACAGACAGACCCCTGAGGTACTGTCTCACAAAATGGCCTGAGGTCTCCCACCCCATCCATCTTCCTCTTGATTCTGCCTTTGAACATAGGTTTGGTGTTACATTCAGAGACACTATGGTACTGCTAAGACAAATTATATATGTAGATAAACATTCTTAAAGTTCATTCACATATAGATACTGCTCATGTTTGTAGAAAAATTAAATTTCCTACAATTAAACTCAAGTATGCCACTTTTAAATGTTTCTAAACATGAACCCAGAAAGGATTATTCTACCAACTAAAGTACACCTAGAATTAAACTCATAGTAAGTGTGACTAAGAAACATAGAGAACTCAAAATTATTCTTTCCTACATTTTTGGCAAAGAAAGAAACCCAGAATACACAGACACCAAGTTCAAATTCTATGTGGAGAAAGAAAAACCCTGTGTTCAGAGACCATGTTTTTATTCTCTATGAAAATTAACTGTAAAAATTGGTGAAATATAAACTATAAAGGATAAATGTAGCCACTTGAATGGCATTTTATATAGATACTATTAGGCAAAAGTATTCTACAAGTCACAATTTGCTTTAAGATACATTATTAAAGGGTGCAACAGAATGCCCCCTTTCAGAGATAAATATCCATGGGTCCCAGCTCACCGGCGTCTAAGGACCTAAGTTAAGCATCTAAGTTAGTTGGCTATTCTTACTGCTTTGTGTTTCCTGGATGCCACCCTCACATCACAGACTGTGATTTGTGTATGTTTGCTGCAGACTGCTGCCAAGCTAAAGAACAGTATATCGAACAGTTCAAAGAAACCCTGAACACCTCCGTGGCCAAGTCAATCGCTGGATTTTTTGCAGAGCCAATTCAAGTGGGTATACGAACCTAGTATCTCCCTGAATTTTTCATTATCACAGTTTTGAATCCAAGTTAATTAAGTGCCCATTTCTGTGTTCCTTTCCAAGCACAACTCATTCTTTTGGTCCCCTTATAAATTAAAAAAAAACTAGTTTTCAGTAGACCTTCAAAAAAATACATTGTCTTCATCCCTACATAGAACAGATGGACAGATGAATAGGTGAAGCCATCAAATGCCTAACGTCCTCAGGAAAAGAGTACCCCTTTGATGTTTTTGAAGTATTTAACACACACTGCTCCTGGAAGCCTACCTTTGGCTCATCAAGCCTCCTGGTTTCTAACATCAGGAAAGAATAGTCACATCTTTTCCCCTGGAGGCATGGTGTGAAAGTCCCCATTGAAACAGTTCTGTACACTGTTCACTTGGCTGTAGCACTGATGTCATGGTGATGAGGATAATGATCTCTCCTCATCCGTGGTGCCAAGCGAGGGCTTCTGCTGACACTCAGCTCTTCCTGATTTAATCTTTTGCAGGGTGTGAATGGTGTTGTCCAGTACCCGAAGGAGTTTCTGAAGGAAGCCTTTGCGTTGGTTCGAGAGAGGGGAGGTGTGTGCATTGCAGATGAAGTGAGTGACTAAGCCAGGGAACGACTTGGTACAGTAGGGACGGGCCAGATACAGAATGAGACTTCTTCAAACCCTCTTTGGTATTTCAGGCAGGAAACAAGTGTATGAACCCTCGTGTGTGGCCATAAACTAAAGAAGCCTCTGCTGGTTTGTTGGAAAGTTGATTAGAGTAACAAATATAAAGGAGCTTAAGCATCCCAACTGGTTTCTATTTAAAAAGTTGCTATCGGGCACAGGTGATGCCACTGTTACACAGTGTGTTTTCATTCTTGCTGCTATTATTATTCTTTGTTCTAAGAATTGTTGACAGACCCCTGACAAGCAAAAAAAAGGGGGCATTTAACCTTGTAGTCTAGTGTTCATCTTAATTTTTGCCAAAGCGATGTCAGGTGGACTGTTTTTAAAGAATAAGTAGTAATTCAGACTCTAAATTAGAAAGTTGCTACCACTTCAGACTTAGATCACACAAACTTGAGCAGCATCAGAGTAGAAGCTGCCCAGCTGAAATAATTACATGGCAGCCCCAGGGGGTTCTGAAGGAACTAACACCAGCACTGTGGGTTCCAGCTTGTATACTTAGAATCATACCTTGGATTGCAGTGCATCAGATAAAGCAGCATCTTATCCACTTAGAATAGCTCTAGAGATTCTTTTAAAGACCGGAGGACAATACTCAGGCCACAGAAGTTCTCTCCCTCTTTACCACTGGAGCCCAGCATGCTTGCACAAACAGGTGGTTTGACCCACCAAGGACAAATGGGAAACCTGTGTGTCTCCTATTTGTACCAATCTCACTTGCCTTTACTGACTGTTTTCCTTGACTAAAATTTCCTCCCAGTTCATGCTGGGCTGCCTGGTTGGCTGAAATCTTACAATTGCCCAGCACCACTTGTGTGACCAGGCCAGGTCCCTGTTGACCTCAGAGTGTCCCAATGCCAGGGCTGTACCATGGCAGCTTGAGCAGGGTCTTCCTGCTCTGTCCCTTGTACTAGTGGACTCATCAGGGTCCCATTGAAAGGAAGGTAACTGGCTATTAACAGAAGAAGAAAAAAAAAGAACACCACATTCAATCAGTTTGAAATTAGCTGTCTCAGGAAAGAGGATTAAACCTTGGCATTGGAATTCACACACAGCGAAGCTTTCACAATCAGACTAATTAGAGTGAAGGTAGGCTGAATTCAAAGAAAATCAGAACTTTAGAATTTCCAAGAGATGTGGTTTCATGACCTTCTCTTGTTTTTCTCCCACCACCCCCAATTTCATGACTTTCGAGAACATAACATGGGCAAGTTTGAGAGAGACTGGAATGTTAACCAGTAACAGAATAATAACAGGCAGAGGCCAGGAATCCATTGTCTCAGCTCCCCACTGCCACAGCCTCAGCATCCTACTCCCTACTGTGTATTCCCCATCCCTGGAGACACTAGCATTTCTACACATCTGAATGAGCCCTCTGTCCCACTGTTTATCCAACCCAATGAAACTCAGGATTCTCAAAGGACTGGCCATGCTTTATTCTGCCTGGTTTCGTGTATTTTCCAAACAATCATCTGTTTCACCAATTGTGCTATTTTTATGCCACTTAAGACAGATGGAGAGGAGAAAGAATATAGGCCAAAAGACAAACTACATAAAATTCCTGCATTATTATTTGGGCCATTTAATCAGTTTGTCCAATGCCCTGTGTCTTGGAAGTGAAGACTTGGGGTTCCAGGCCAAGTGTGTCAAACTCCCACATCTCAGCTCTTCTCCGATTTTGGTCTCTGTCACCTCAAAATAACTCCTAGAATTAGCTCCTCTCCTATACTGGTCACTGTCACCTAAGAAAAGTCAAGAGCCTAGTTTCAGCAACCTGTGATAATGGTAAATGAGAAGGGAGAATTTGAAAAACAAAACAAAACTTTGTCTTTGATGTGTCTGAGACTGGGCTTCAGGTATCCAGCCCACCTTGCTAAGTGTGCATGTGGAGAGAGAGAGAGAGAGAGAGAGAGAGAGAGAGAGAGAGAGACAGATAGACAGACAGACAGATAGACAGACAGACATAGAAACAGAGACAGACAAAGGTCAAGAATGGCTCTGGTCTGGAGATGTTCATGACACCTTTCTGTCACAATTTCCTTCCTTCTACAAGCACTAAGAATCTAACTCAGGCAGGGCTGTCACAACACATACATTGTTGTTAATAATAATCCATTGAGAAACTCTGGTGGCCACATGCCTAGAATGCTTTGAATAGAGCCTATTTTGATCTAGGATGATGAAAGTGAATTTTGAAACATATGACATTGAGAGTAGGGACAGTGTGAACAAAAATTATGACCAACTTCCAATGTGTGGCAGGTTCTAGATTAATGCAATTGTACTCCGAACTCATTGGCTCAGCTGTGTCCTCCTCATAATACAGAGATAGGAAGACAGCATTCTGTCGTGGGGTGGTAAGCATCCAGCCCTTCTAGATAGACTGTTACTCTTCCTTCTTCCAGGGAAGCCAGTTTCTCCACTTTTGTCTCTGGTTGTTTGTGCACAGGAGAGACTTAAAGAGGTTTAATCATCCTGATGCCTTTTGCATATGTTATTTATATAACTCTCAAGCATCCCTGTGTTGTGCTATGCTGATAGGATTATTTCTCCTTGATAAGCTAATTAACAGATATTCAAAAGACATAAAGAATGTTTCCAAAGTCTCACAGCGGTAGGAAATGGCTTTGGGTACATCCAACCTCAGGCACAGATTGAGTGTTTTGTCCCTAAGCCTGCAAGGATAGACAATGCAAGGGAGAGATGAGAAGGAGGTAAAAGGAAGAGAATAGAACAGAGTCCGAAAGATTTTCAGTGGTTTTTCATCTATTTCCAGGTGCAGACAGGATTTGGGAGGCTGGGCTCTCACTTCTGGGGCTTCCAAAGCCACGATGTACTGCCTGATATTGTCACCATGGCTAAAGGGATTGGGAATGGCTTCCCCATGGCTGCAGTTGTGACCACTCCAGGTACAGTGTCCAGTGTGTCCATGCTTGCTCCTGGGCCTCCTGCACTGGCAATAATATAAAGCATGGATTTCAATGTGTGTAGGCTAGAGGCAGTGATGGGAACCACAGGATATGTTGTCCAAGCAAATGAAAGAGAAAGGTGCCAGGCCCTGGTGCAGTTGGAAGACAGCCGGCCATTCCCATCTTGCTGGAGGGAAGACCACCTCTTCCATCACAGTAGTTAAAGTTGGGGTTCTACCATACTGAAGAAGGATTAGGAAAACAGGATACAAAGCAAAGTACTGAAATTTCCAAAAGACTCTTTTCCATGGTCGCATGGTCTTCCCATGCCATTAACTATATAATTCAAGGTCCAGATATCTCTGTCAGTGTCCTATCAGCCAAATACAATAAAATCTCATTTATTCAGAACACTCTATGACAGCAGTTCTCAACCGGTGAGATACAACCCTTTTGGGGGTCCTATATCAGATATCCTGAGTGTCAGATATTTATATTACATTCATAACAGTAGCAAAATTACAGTTATGAAGCAGCAATGAAATAATTTTATGGCTGGGGGCCACCACAACATGAACTATATTAAAGGATCACAGAATTAGGTTGAGAATCACTGTTCTATGAAATAATGGTTAAAATTTGATTTTCTATTGTTGTGAGATTTTGACAGGTATTATTTCATGTGAACCATTGATTGGTAAAAATTATTTTATATATATTTCCTCGCAATAGTCAGCACATTTCTGAGCCATTAAATAACTAAATATTTTGTGGTATCTGTTTTCATAGAATGAGCTAAAGTACATGGAAATGCAATAATGGAATCCATTACTTTTGATAATCATTGCACTAATTTAAAACCAAAAATGTATGATTGCAGAAAGCAAAGTGTGATGAACAGCCCTTGACAGAATCCAGGATGATGTTGCTGAATTTGTCAGCATAAATATAAGATCATTTCCTCAATACTTCCTTCTTAGTCTCAAGAGTAGAAATAAATGATGGGGAATGTTCTTCTGTATATATGTTTCTCTTACTGGTTAATGAGTAAAACACTGATTGGCCAGGCAGGAAGTGGCATAGCTGGGCAGACTCAGAGTATAAGCAGGGATAAACAGGAAATTTCTTTCTTCTCTGTGGAGATGCTAAGCAGTCATCATGCAGCAGGCAAAGGAGTTGCAGGTCCATCATTCCCTGGTAAGATAAGACCATATGGAAATACAGAGCTAGCCATAAGAAATGCTAGTCATCAGCTAACAGCTTTATAACTAATACAGTGTTCAAGTGTTCATTTGGGGCTGAAGTGGCAGTGGGGCCTGCCGGGTCAGAAAGTTCATGCTACAAATAAAAGATGTGGTTAATTGGAGAATTTAGGCAAAGTCCTGCATGTCAAGTTGTAGGGAGAGATTTTACGTATCTCCCTACATCAAGTTTTAAGGTGCTTTCTAATTCATGTAACACATTAAAGATGGTGTTATCATCTTTTGGTTAAGTAAAAAGCTGTCTTCCTTATCCACATATTAGTCAGCTCAGGCTGACCAAGCAAGATACCATGGATGAAACGGATAGAACAATGGAAATTTACCTTCCCACAGATGGGAAGTCTGTCAAGATCAAGGTGCTGGCAGGCCTGAGGTGTGCCTAGGATTCTCTTCTAGCCTTGCAAATGGCCACCTTCTCATCGCTTCTCTAAATGACCTTCCCTATGTGCCCACAGAAGAGAGATGAGGATCACACTAGAGTCTCTCATTGTTGTAAAGACATTGTCCTGTGCGACTTGGGCCCCAGCTTTGTGAGCTGTTTAATCCTAATGGCCCGTTTAAAGACTCCATCCCCAAATACAGTCATACTTGGACCTAGCATTTAAACATTCAGGTTTTAAGGGGACACAATTCAGTCATTCGCTGTTAGATGTGTAAAGAAGGGAATAAATGGATATCATCTGCAAGATGAAAGTGGATATGATGCAAATGTCATAATGAGACACACTGGGTAAGAATGTGTCACTTTAGCATCTTTTGTTTTCCACCCTCAGAAATTGCTAAATCTTTGGCTAAATGCTTGCATCACTTCAGCACATTCGGAGGAAACCCCCTAGCCTGTGCCATTGGATCTGCTGTGCTTGAGGTCAGTCCTGTCCCTCACACCGACTCCGTTGATTGCAAAGTAACTATTTTAAACCACATACTTTATCTGAACTCTGTCATGTTGCCATTGTAGAGGTTTAATCAGTAATTCACCAATGTAAATTCTTTCTCCAGTTATTAGTCTCTGCCCCTCTGTTTTAAGTTTACTTCGGGTGCTTGAAGTTCTGAATAAGAGGTATTCTATAATCACCTTCACGTACCTGGGAAATGTAAGAATTGCACTATCCAGGGATAACCCTGAGTATTTCTTGTTTTCTTGGTAGTATTTGTTGTATAGGCTTTTAACAGCTATTCACCCTTTTAACTTATCTTTTGCCATATACTATAGATGTTTCTCTTCCTTTTTATTGTCTTAATGAAATAACTATAGAGGAACCATAGATTTTTAGCTGATTGTATCAGGGTAATTCAGATACTCTGAAAAAAACCTGTTCAGTCCTATCACATTCATTTAGCTTAATATCAGCCAGTTTATTAATAATTTTGTCTGAGAATTTCATAGATGCATACAATATGTTTTAATCAAATCCACCCCCTTTTTCTCCCTTTTAAATTACCTCCTTGTAACAACCCATCACTTTTTCCTCCCAATTTCATATGTTTTTCTTCTTTTTTTTTAACTCGCTGAGTTTATTTAATGATGCTTATGTGCACATGTTTATGGGACCATGTACTGGAGCATGGGGCCCTCCTAGGACCCACTTTTCTGAGGAAAACTGACTCTCCCTTCCCAAGCAGCCATCAATGGCTTCCCAAATAGGAGTAGGATTTCTTAAGCTCCTCCTCCACCCATTCTGGGACTTTCACTGGATTCATTATGTGCAGGTCTCATGCATACAGTCTCAGCCAGTGTGAATCCATGTGTGCAATGGCTCTGTCACAGCCATGAGCATTGTCATGTTCACTGCGATGTATGCTCCCTCTGGATCTTACAGTCTTTTCACCCCAGTTCTACAACGACCCCTGAACTGCCAAGGGAAGGGATGAGATGCAGATGTCCCACTGAGAACTGAGCACCCTACAGTCTCTTGTTCTCTGTGTGTTGACCAATGGTGGGTATTGATACCATACACAACAAAAAGACATTTCTCTGATGAAAGTAAAGAGACATTCCTCACGGTCCCTAGAAGAGAACCAATCACTATTATTTTGCTAAATTGAATTAGTAATATAGTGTCCTACATTCTTGTTTTTATTAGCCCATTATTCTATTGAAAATGTCCTTTTTGTAAAATGCCATTCCCAAAATGTATAATGCCTTCTGCTTAAATAAATACAATGTGTTTCTGAAAGAACATCCAAATAGTTTTTAAAAATTCAGTTTATTTGAAGAGAAACTTGGCTAGGGTCAGAGGTCAGTACAAATCATTCTGCTATTTATACTTTCGTGTTTCTTATTTTGAACTATGAATATGACTCACCTACTCAAGAAATTTAAATGTGTTTTGGATAGAATTAAAGAAGATAAGGCTATTATTGCTAATTAAATACTTTAAGATATAATTAAGTCATGAGATGTGAGTGAGTGGGTAGAAATATGACATTCGTTTCTTTTTGTTGACATTGTCACCGTTTTTTCCTACTTCTCCAAGTTCCTCCTCAACTCCCCTCCCAGCTGGTTCCACCCCATTTCTGTCTTATTGAAAAACATAAACCTTCTAAGGAAGAATAATAAAATAAAATGTAATAAGATAGAACAACAATCGACACATCAGAATAAAACAAAACAAACAGAAGAGAGGCCAAGAAACGGCACAAGGAATAGATACAGACAGAGACTCATTCATTTGCACATTCAGTAATCCAGTAAAAACACTAAGGTAGAAGCCATAGTATATGTATGTATATATATACATAAATATATATATGAAGGATATATAACATATATATGCACACACATATATATGTATATATATATGATAAACTTAAAAAAAAGAAAGAAGAGGAAAGTCCTGCCTGACGCAACATAAGACAAGAAACCTCCAAAAGATGCCACTGAGTTCATTTCTGTTGGCCATCCACTGCTGAGCATTAAGTACATCAGCAGTCTGTTTCCCCAGTGAGACTTCCTTGGAGAACACTAAATTTTAATTTACAAGAGGTTACCAATTGGAGATTGCTCTTCAGTTAGGAATGGGGCGTGTGACCACTTCTTTCAGCTCTAGGACCCAATCTGGTGCAGACCCATGCAGGCTCCTGTGCATCTTGCCTAACTCTCTGTGAGCTCATATTTCATTGTTCAGGATTGTTTTGACTATCCTGGGTGTGTGTGTGTGTGTGTGTGTGTGTGTGTGTGTGTGTGTGTGTGTGTGTGTGTGTGTATTTGAGGACAACTTTCAGCCTCAAGATCTATAAAGAACTGTATTAGAATTTTGATGGGGATCGCAGTGAATCTGTAGATTGCTTTTGGTAGAATGGCCATCTTTGCTAACCCTACTGATCCATGAGCATGGGAGGTCTTTCTATCTTCTGATATCTTCTTTAATTTCTTTCTTCAGAGACTTCAAGTTTTTATCATACAAGTCTTTAACTTGCTTGGTTAGTGTTACCCAATGTATCTTACATTATTTGAGGCTATTGTGAAAGGTGTTGTTTCCCTAGTTTCTTTTCTAGCCCATCAATATATAGGAGGAATACTGTTTTTTTGTTTGTTTGTTAATTTTATATCTAACTACTTTGCTGAGAGAGTTTATTGGCTGTAAGAGTTCCCTGGTGGAATTTTTAGAGTCACTTATTTACATTGTCATATCATCTGCAAATCAAGATACTTTTATTTCTTCCTTTAAATTTATATCCCCTTTAGTTATCTTATTGCTCTAGATAAGATTTCAAGTACTATATTGAATAGGTACAAAGACAGTGGACAACTCTAGCTTGTTCCTGATTTTAGTAGAATTGCTTTGAGTTTCTCTCCATTTAAATTGATGCTGGCTAAAGGCTTGTTGTAAATTGCCTTTATTATGTTTAGGTATGTCTCTTGTATCCCTAATTTCTCCATGACTTTTAACATGAAAGAGTATTGGATTTTGTCAAAGGCCTTTTCTGTACCTAATTAGATGATTATGTGGGTTTTTAAAATTTTTTTTATTTTTACATGTCAATCCCAGTTCCCTCTCCCTCCCCTCCTCCCGCACTCCCCTTCCCCCCCACCCTCCCACCCTATTTCCAAATCCTTCCACATAGGGGATATCTAGAGTCTGTCACTTCACTCTGGGTAGGGGCCAGGCACTCCCCTAAGAGTCCAGGCTGAGAGAGCATCCCTCTTTGTGCTATAGGCACACGATGACTGTTTGTATTCCAGGGATAGACACAGATCCACAACTCATAGGTTGCCCAGGCGTTCTCGCTGACACTCACATTTGGGGGGTCCAGATCAGTCCCATGCTGGCCTCCCCACTGTCGGTCTGGGGTCCAAGAGCTCTCCCCTGTTCAGATCAGCTGTCTCTGCTGATTTTGCCAGCCCAATCTTTGCCAATTTGCTCATCACTCCTCTCTCTCTGTCACTGGGTTCCTTGGGTTCAGCTCAGTGATTAATTGTGTGTTTGCCTCTGCTTCCATCAGTCACAGGATGAAGGCTCCCGGATGGTTATAGACATCAAGTTCATTATCAGGAATGGGCATTCGAGGTGGTCTCTCCACTATTGCTTAGCTTGCCAATTGGTGTTATCCCTTTAGATCACTCGAGGTCACTCTGGTGCCTGATCTGTCTTCTATCCTATGATTCCCTCTTCCCCCTATTCTACCCCCATCCACTCAACTTCCTGATCCCCCATGACCAACTCTCTTCCTCTTCACCCCCTCTCTTCTTCCCAGCTCCCACTCCCCCCCACCCCTCGCCGTGTTCCCCATCCATTCAGAGGATCTTGTCTCAATCCTCTTCTCTTGGGTACTATGCATATATACATATCTTTTAGGTTCTTTCCTGTTTCCCAGACTCTCTATCAGTGGAAGTGCAGACTGGCACTATCCTGATCCATGTCTAAAATCCATATATTAGTGAGTACATACCATGTTTGTCTTTTTGTGAATGGGTTACCTCACTCAGGATGGTTTCTTCCAGTGCTATCCATTTACCTGCGAATTTCAAGATTCCATTGTTTTTTTTCTGCTGAGTAATACTCCATTGTATCAATGTACCACATTTTCTCTATCCACTCTTCAGTTGAGGGGCATCTAGGTTGCTTCCATGTTCTGGCTATTACATATAATGCTGCTATGAACATAGTGGAGCAGATGCCCTTGTTGTATGAATTTGCCTCATTTGGATATATGCCTAAGAGTGGAATTGCTGGGTCTAGTGGTAAATTAATTCCCATTTTCCTGAGGAATCTCCATACTGATTTCCAAAGAGGCTGTATGATTCGGCACTCCCACCAGCAGTGGAGGAGTGTTCCCCTCTCTCCACATCCTCTCCAGCATAAATTGTAGTTGGTGTTTTGGATTTTAGCCATTCTGACAGGAGTAAGATGGTATCTCACAGTTGTTTTGATTTGCATTTCCCTGATGGCTAAGGATGTTGAGCACTTTCTCAAGTGTCTCTTGGCCATTTTAGCCTCCTCTATTGAGAATTCTCTATTTAGTTCTGTACCCCACCTTTTAATTGGATCCTTTGGTGTTTTGGAGACTTGCTTCTTGAGTTCTTTGTAAATTTTGGAGATTAGCCCTCTGTCAGATGTAGGGTTAGTGAATATCTTTTCCCATTCTGTGGACTGCCTTTTTGTCTTTTTGACTGTGTCCTTTGCCTTACAGAAGCTTTTTAGTTTCAGAAGGTCCCATTTGTTAATTGTCGATCTCAGTGTCTGTGCCACTGGTGTTATATTTAGGAAGTGGTCTCCTGTACCAACTCGTTGAAGAGTATCTCCCACTTTCTCTCCTAAAAGTTTCAGTGTGACTGGATTTATGTTGAGATCTTTGATCCATTTGGACTTAAGTTTTGTACAAGGCGATAAACATGGATCTATCTGCAGTCTTCTGCATACC